GCACAGGGGAGCCTATGCTGCCATCTCTCCTCTCTGCCCCTGCTGCAGCCACAAAGCTCATTATGGGATAAATCCTGCCTGGTGTTCAGGTAAGTTGTTGACAACATGCATGGGAGCTCAGGCTTGTGCATGCTGGGGTGGGGAATGTCTGCATGCTGAGTTGCACTGTGCTGGGCAGAGCATACCAACATTGTGTGGAGCCATGGGCACTGGACAGAACTGAACTTTCCATTTAAAAATATTTTTAAAAATATTCTCCCAACTATGCAAAGTGCTAGTTTTGGCTGATAAAAGCAAGGAGCAAGATGGAAACTCTGCTGGCTCATACAGTAGGTTTGGAAGGTGTGCTGTCCTTTTTTTGTATCAAATTCCAGACACTTTTTTTCCTTCTTACTTGGCTTCTTAGCTATGTTAAATTGCTGAATTTTGCTTCATTAAAATAATTGCTGATTGCACTTTACACTTTAGTTTAGCAGCTGCTCAGCAAAGGCTCAGCCACTGAAGATGGCAACCATCTCCTGTGACCTGTAGGTTAATTTTATTTCAGTGGGCCTCAGTGAGCCCTGATGGTCCACAAGTGCTGAGATCCAATCCTCTGCTGGACATGCAGCCAAGGAGTTAGGATGGCCACATACTTGGAAGTCATATTCTAGGGGAAATTGTCATTAGGTTTATTAAGAATTCCCTGATTTTTTTTCCTTAGAATACTCCAGATCTACATTTTACACTGTCTTTAAGAAATGGCTCCTGTCATGGGAGTGTTCAAGGGCAAAAAAAAAACCAAACCAGATTCATTCAGCAGTGCAGAGAGAACTGGACATTACCAGATGCAGTGAAGCTCCATGTCATCCTTGCCTGTAAACTGTGGAACAGCTCAATTGCTTGCAGGACATGAGAGAGAAGGAAGCCTTCCTGCATGCAAGACAACACACAACATATGCTGTACAACATATGCCCTACTGCTTGTGCTGTGTTGTTTCAGTGTCAACAGTCTGGGCTTTTAATTGTTGTAACCCTAATTAGTAGTGACAAATATTTTGGGACTGGAGGACTTGGGATTTCTTTATAGACTTCAGACCCCATGTAAAAAGTTCACTCCTTACATCCACTCTAATCCTGCCTTAAGATATTCAGCATATACATGTGGCACAGTAAAAGAAGCACTGAAGTGTGCTGAGCTTGACATGGTACACTTTCCAAATCCCCTGCCAGCCTGGCTTAGATGAAATTTCTCCTGGAAATACAGCAGTTGTTGTTGACATTCTCTTATGGTGGGGAAAGGAGAGGCAGAGACAGCCGCTGGTTTCATGCTAAACAAAGATGCATGGAAGGAAAACATAATTTATTTTGGTTGAATCTTTTTAAAGAAATTAGGTGTTGCTTGTGCCAATCTTTCACATCATAATAATTGGAAACATCCTTGCTCTGTCAGATAGATCCCCAAGGGAATTCCACCCATTCCATGTGGTAGGTGAAACCCAACACGCTCTCCCGGACCTGAACTTTTTTTGGCACATGTTGTACCAGGTTAAGAACTATTTCAGCCACCTCCAGCTTTCTCAGAGCAGCCTTTCACCTGACTGACTCAGGCCCTCCCACTATGCAGCCTCAGGGAAGGGTTGTGGGATCACAAAGAATACAGGGGTGCATCCCACCTCTGCTGTCTCAAGGTGGACACAGGCCACCCTCTCAGTTACCCAGACGCCTCTTTTCTGGACACCAAGCAATGACACTAAAGCATGCTGTCACCATCCTGGACTCTTTGGCCACGGACACCCTCTTGGCAAGCAGGGGCAGGCAGGTTTGGATGGACTGGTTGGAGGTCCTGGGGAGAGTGCTGGCTGCCTGTGGGATGAGAGGCTGCCCTATTCCAAAGAACCCGTTGTGTGTGGTGCACTTATGTTTTTCTCAGTCAGCTGATGCAAACTTTTGTGTCTCTTGAAGGGCTTTGTGCCTTAGAAGCCCTGCAGGGCTAAACCTGAAGCAGAGATACCATGGGCCAGCCCCTCAAGTGGTGTAAATCAGCAGCACTTCTGTGAAAACAACTGAGTCATGTTGATTTATATCAGCAGGTGGATTGCAGATCCCATCCAGCTTTTCCACCTGTTATACGCTGTTTTACTCCCTTCTTGTTCATTTTAGTAATAGCAAAGAGATACCAGTTTTTCTAATGAAATGCAATTTTTTTCCTGATCCTCTTTTATTTTAATGAGGAGGTCTAAGGTGAGAGAACCCTAACCAAACACCTGCATCCCACCCAAGCCCAGCCTGCAGATATCTGTGCCACTCACACCCATGCTGTGAGGCTGACACTTGGCCCTGCATTGGGTTGAAACAAAATCCCCATATCTCTAGTATGCCTCTAGTTGGGGGCTGAACATTACAGCACTTTTGCTTGTAGTAAAAAATGTCACAGCAATTTATGCAATTTCAGGGATCCTTTTGCCATAACACAGAGGTGAACGCAACAACCGAGCAGACAACATTGTTGCCTGCTTCTTGCTGTCTTAAAGCAGAGCTTCTTGCGCCCATCTGTTTGCATGTCCCCGCCCATGAGGCCGTTCCCTGGCACAGTTATCCTCCCAGACAGACGGGCTTTGCACGGGGGACTCATCCCAGCCTGCAGGCGGCAAGTTTGCTGCAGTTCCCAGGGTAACGCCCTTCCCATGAGAGGGAGAGCTGCAGATGGAGGCCGCTGCTTTTCCCCGCAACGAGAGGCAGTTTCCACTGGGAAACCCAAGAGCAAAGTTTCTCTCTGCGCAAATCACGGCCATTGGCTCCGTTTCCAGCCCACCACCTCCTCCAGGGCAGCCGTCCCCTCTCCTGAGCCTGGCCCACTACCGGCGTTTCTCCTTCCTGCTTTGAGCACAGCAATGTTGAAGTGGGGGATGAGGAGCAATGTTTGCTCCTCAGCCCTGCTGGAACCTGACGCAGGGAGCTGGCATAGCCCCAAGCCACCTGCCTGTGAGAAGATAACAAGAGGAGCTGCCTGCCGCAGATTAGTTAGAGTCTGACTGAACAGGCATTAGATAAACCAAGGACTATTTATTTGTTTGGGTTTTTTTCCTAAGGAAGTACCCAAATACTGGTGGAAAGTAACTTTTTTTCCCCCCTAAACTCAGCCATGTTATTCTTCCAGGAATTAACATCCATATCTTTACCTTCTTCTTCCTATAAATAGGATTCAGGGACTGATAATTCCTTAGCACTCTCTCTCTGGTATTCCTCAAGAGCCACAAAATGACAGCCCTGGTCTTAGCCCCCCCAAGCCATGTTGCTCTGCAGAAGACTTGGCCAGCCACTGGGGTAGCACTGGGCAAAGCTTTACAACAGTGCATTTAAAAATAGTGATAATCAAAAAATTGATTTATACTGCAAAAGACAAAAACCAAAAAAACCTGCGTATCTTGAATGGTGTGTCTGCAGAGCTCTGGGATGGAGCTGGCCATTTCCATGCTGAGCCCTGTGTGTGAGGCACAGAGCAATGGCTGTGGGCCTCTCCTGCCAGGCAGGACAGTCGGCACAATGACAGTGTTTCCCTCAGCTGCTGGTATACAGAACACAGACAGATTAGGCCGTGTGTGCTCATGCAGCTGAACAAATTATTTGGTGAAAGTCACACATCTCAGTAATGAAATGCCACTTCTGTAGGGAACAGCTACATCCTCCTTGAACAGCCCTACATGGAAAGAGATTAGAAATCAAAGGGAGGTGGGAAGTGTTTGTCTATTCCTAGAGTGTTAACTTGTTTAAAAATATTTATTTCCAATAGCCTGCTAATTTTTACATTTCAGAATTTTTTTCTACATTTTATGCTTACTTATTTTCACTGAATAATCCATTTCTCTTGCTCTTTTTGTGGCTCTTTCTTTGAAACAGCAATCAGTAAGACTTCCTATTGCAAAGGAAATCTTGGCTAAATATAGTAATGAAGAGGAGGTTGTTTAAGAGCTGCTAGGTATTCTACAGCTCTCTGGTATTCCCTGAATGTTTATTTCAAGCAACACTTTTTTTTTTTTTTCCCTTAGGAAAACCATAATTTTTAAAGAGGAAAGTTCACAAAAGAAATACAGCAACTGGTGCAATACCTGAGATAGTTTTTCACTGTTATATCAGCAATTGCAAAGCCATCGGTATTCCCTATGTGGATATACCCCGTCTGTAAATGGAGAACACTGGCTGCAGGTCCGTAAATAGGTCCTGTAGGTCCTTTGCTCCTGAAAGCAGGTGCTGCATGGTCTAAGTTAGGGCAGGAGTTCAGATGTGCAGGTGATATTCCTTCTTCCTAGTCCTTGGTCCTGCCAGTGGGAAAGCTCATGTGGATGACAGCAGGGCCTGAGCAGGGCTGCCACAGCCACACTCTTGCATTGGTGGCTTGGAGGAGAGCACAGGGACAGCAGGGAGGCCAAGCAGGAGAGAACAGACACCAACCCATGAGGCAAGTGACCAAGGAGTGTGCCAAGGTGAGTGACAGCAGCACAGGAACAGGCTAAACTGTTTCTGAAATTACTTTTTTCCTAGACCTGCTTGTGATGGATGCTGTGCAGCTGATACGGATTCACAGACTGTGGGAGGGACATCCCAGTTTTCACAGCAGCCTTGGCTGTGCATCCCCTCCCTAAGAGCTCTACCCCTGTGCTGGGTAGAGCTCTGCACCAGCAGGACAGCACGAGTAGCAGTGAGTGTAGGACAGGGCTTTGCTTTTACCAGTTCCCATGAAACTGGAGAAAGGAAATATCTTCACGAGACCCAGGGCACATCCTTGAGTGATAGCCACTGGACATCATTAGGCACAACTCCTCCTTGCCAAACCACTTTCCTGGGGCAGAACTGCAGGCATATGAAATTCTAGAGGCAGGCTCACCCCACCTGCATCCCTTGTCACAAGAGGCTTGTGCCCCACTCTCGGGGAAGGCCCTTGCCCCTCGCTCCCAGAGAAACCATTCCAAGACATCACTTACACCTCTGGATCTCTTCTGTCTGTTTGTCCCTCCCTCCAGGGAAAGTCTCTGGCAAGCAAGCGCCTCACGGGCCTGATGCAGTCCTCCTGACAACTCCGGCCGACTGCCCCGTGGGAGAGACAGCTGGGACCGCTGCCGGGGACGGGGCATTTCAGGGAGAGCAAGTCCCTGCTGGGGAGACAGCCTGAGCAAGTGGAAGCAGAGAGCCACACACCAGTGGAGCACCTCTCTTCACAGTTTACACCAACACTTCCCTGTCTGCACAGCTCCTTAAGGACCCTGAGCTCTGTGCAGGTACTTTGTCTCCAGCTGAGGTTTGGAGAACACTTCACCATACACAGGAGGTCAACAAGGCAAGGGCTTGCTGTCTTGTTATTTAAGGAAACAGACACGACTACAGCTTGGAGAAAGAAGAGCTGAGAGAGATCAGTGTTTTTCCATATCTCTTTCCTCCCTGGCACAAACGTGACTGTAATAAGATGGCGCCACAATCCCACTTACTCCCTTTCATGTGGCCGTCTGGATCCAATAAAATATCTGGATATTTTAGCTGGAAGCTGCTTCTCCTTCTCACAAAATCCCAAATGCATTTCACCTGCAGATTCACTGACTTTAACTTGGTTTTTCTTTCCTATGTTTCTCCTCCTTTAAAACAATGGAAAAAAAAAAAAAAAAGAAAGGCATTAAGTTCATCACTCGTTGTTCTTCCAATAGCATGTAGCATGTCCAGAGATGATACCAGATCCTCAGCTGAAGTGAGGAAAGCAGGAGTGGTTTTCATCACCTGAGGATCTTCCCCCTTGAGTCAGACTGATCCTGGTGCAAATTCTCTGACGTCGGCGGAATCGTTCTGCATGTGCGCGTAGTGCAAATGTGATCAGACTCTGCTCAAAAAGTCATGTTTGAGATGTGCAATGCACACACAAGCACACACACACTCACACACACAGTATTTAAAATGAGTTGGTTTATATTTTATTTAATTTTCTATTTATTTAAGATTTTGCATACCTAATCAATGATGGATGTTCAAACTTTTCTCTGAGCAAACCAAACAGGACTCCAGCTCTCCAGTCCGAGAGGGCCAAAATCCATTCACTTGTGTCCAGGGAAAGGCAACTCTGATGTGGGCAGTGAGGAGGGAATTGATGGTGGGAATGGGCAAGGTGCCAAGTGACACTCCCTAAACAGCAGCATACCCAGCTGTGATATCGTGCTCAGATAACTGACCCTGCTGAGAAGCAGCATTCTGAGAGTGAAATTGTACCACTGGAGGAAATGAGCTTCCACTAAGACTCATCTGACCTGCAGCTCATGAATGCAACAGCAAAAGACGGCCCAGTAGCTTGTTTCAAGCTGTTGGAAGTATGGCGGTTAGGATGAGGACAGGACTGAAGTGACTTTGTTATGAAATCCATTTATACTAGCTGCAGATAGGAAAATGGCCTGCATTCACATACAGTATATTATCTCTATATAAAAAGAATTTCAAGACTCAGCTAACTCACAAAATCTCCTATATTTTGTAAGCAGTTCAGATCTGAAGCATACATGAAACTAGACATTTCTTGGTCTTCTTCACTCATGCCAAGGCAAATTGGCTTTTTGTACAGGTGGTAGAAACTGCTATATGGCTACAAGTCTGCATTCCTACCTAGGCAAAACCATCTAGCTAAGTAGCTAAGTAGACAGCTGGCTATTGACAGCATTCACTTCTGAGGCAAGTATTATTCTAATATCTAAGGCCTATGTATGCACAAAAACATGCCAGCATAGTTTTTGTCAGAAAAAACCCTTCCTCTTTGCCCATGACAGTTCTCATTCTGATATCTCTTTTCTTTCTTGCAGAAAAGTCCTAATATCAATTATACCTAAGGTCCATTCACCTGCATGAATGTACAGTAGATGACTGAGTAGGATCTTTGTTCTTTACACATGCCTATACCCTAAACAGCCTGCTGTCTGACCTTCAGACTAAATTCATCCTACATATACATGACACACAAGCAAGTTCCAGGACGGCAGAACCATGAACGTCCCTGACATTCTTGTGGTCTCCTGCCTCTGAAGAGAACTTTTGTCACCCTCCAAATTGTCACTTAGCTGTCCTTGCAGGACCTATTTGTCCTCTGTTGCCCACCCAGCCAAAGAGTCCCCTTGGGAAATAGCAGGTCTTTGTTTAATAGGTTCACATGTCCATTCATGCATATGCATATGTGCCCCCTTGGTCATCCCTAGGAAAATGCAGAGGTCATCTCTTCTTAGAGTCTTGTAGATGGTGTTTTTATCTCTGTCAAACCCTCCAGTGCCATGCATCACTGGAGCTCTGTAAACCAACAGCTGCTCACACTCCAAGATACTCTGCTGCCAGTGCTGCCCAGCCGCAAGGCATTTCCCACAGGAGGTCTGTCTTGTGAACTCTCCAGCTGGTCTGCAGAGCATTCCTGAGCAACATGTACACATAAAACATGAAACAGGTGTGTAGCAAGGAGCAGGGATAGTAAAGTGCTACCTGTAGGTCTCTGCTTTGCAGTGAGTTCCCATGACTGGAGAGGTCATCTCATTCCAGTTCCCCCATCTCCTGGGGGAAGGATGGGGTAGCTCCACAGAGGTACTCCTCAGGACCTGCAGCATGGGGACACGTGTGGGCAGGACTGGAGAGCGCTGGTGGGCAACGGGACAGGTGGAATTAGGGTTATGGTCTGTGCAGGCAGCAGAAATGCCAGACTTTAACCTGAGGATGAGCTGCTGCCCTGTGAGCCACACACTCGGCTTTGTCTTTCAGCTTTATTCCTGCAGGACGGTCACGTTGGCTGCCGCAGTATTTTGCCTGTGGGGAATATTCTGTATTTGAACAGTTGAGCGCATGGAGGGAGTTCTTACAGACATGGAGAGTATGCATATGGGCGTGCATCAGGGGGCCTGGATGCTGAACAGCTTGCCATTTAAACGCACGCTCGTGCAAACTAATCTGCTCAGCAATGGCTAGCTGAGCGGACAGAGCTGCATATCCTCTGGAGGGAAGAAAGCTCTGCTTCTTGTTTCCTGACTAAATTTCTCCAAAACAAATATGAGAGTAGACAAGGCCTCCTCCTGGGAATACATATTAACTGTTCTTCACATGTCTTTTACTTCACGTATGGTGATATTAACATGTAACTACTTCCACATGAACCACATCCTTGAATTACTGCTTTTTAATGACCTTGCTTATTCCAAGTGATGCTACTTTTGTACACCCAATGGTATCGCATTGAGCATTGCAAGCAGTAATCTGCTGCTTTCTAAGTGTCCAGTGTCTTCCAACTACCTCATCATGCTGAAGATGAGTTAGGAAATCAGCTTTCCACCTCTGTTTATGTTCTAAATGGCATCAATTCAAGGAAAGACAGTCTGGAAAGCTTCTACAATGTCCAAGCTGTGCAAGCTAGCTACAAAACTACCCATACTTACAGGACTATGGCTGTGAAATATGGCTGTGCACTGTTATTTGGATAATAGAGTATCCAGAGCACGCATGGCTATTGTGGCAAAACAGCAGCAGGACAAGAACTAGGAAAGGTTCGACAAGTCAGTGCAGACGGCGTTAGGCTGAAGCAAATGGATTAATGTACTCTCAGTATAACTCAGCACTAAGATCCCATAGAGTACTGTAATAAAATGGTAGCAGGGCAGCCATAAAAAGTGGCAGTAAACTGACATAATATTACCAGAATAAATGTAGCAATAAGGTAACACAGGCCACTGCAGTAAAGTAGCATTTTGATAATGCAGCAATAAGACACAACAGGATGCTGCAGTAAATTAGTATGGGGAATAAGGCAGTAATAACAGTGTGGACAAACAGTGGTACATTTGTACCAGGTACTGCAGCAATAAAGATAACACAAGATGTCCTAGTAATAAGTTACTACAGTAACAACAACATGATGCACTGTAAAGTTATATCAGGATGCTTCCATGCTGCAGTCAAATCCTACAAGAGGTGGTAGTGAGACAATGATGACAAAATATACCCTATTTCCAAATGCAGAACGTGAATCAGTTTTCTGCACCGTAACCCAGATTCTAGAATGATCTCAGCAATACCAATCTTCTCATTCCTGCTTTCAAGGAAGCTGAGGCAAGAGTGTTCCTCCACCCAGACAATTATTTTGGTCTGAAAATACAAAATTGACTCATTGTCTCTTCAGCCAAATTGTTACAGACTGTGGTGAAGTTCTTTGTTTAGTTCTACTCAGGTGAAACCCTGGTGGTTTTGGAAAGTCCTTTGCCTTTGAAAGGATTTGGCTCTCATCTTCTGGCATGGGTGATGCTTTTAGCCTAAAATTATTTCTGGTTTGGGTGGGAGAAGGGGAACCCAGGTACAGAACATTTGACTGTACCAGTCTGTTTCCTAAAATGCACAAATAAATGGAGCATCCTGGAAAAGTCAAAGCAACAAGGACCGAATCTGTTCTGTCTGTCATGCACTCATGCACACAAAAATAATCCTCCTGGAACCAGTGCAAGCCTTGGGTGCATCCATGGGCAGGACTTGGCCTAACCCTGTTCTCAGTGTCCGCAGCAGAGTGACAGAAGCAGTGTCTCTGTCTCCTTTGCTGGTTTTCCTTTTTTTTTTTTTTTTAACCTAACCTCCACCCTCTTTATGGCATGGTCTTGGAAAAAAATTCATTTGCCATAACACAATATGCAGTATTGTGGCAAGGAATAGGTCTGTCCAAGGAATTTGCTGTCTTTTTACTCTTCAGTAGAGGGGTTAAGCATTCTGAAAAATAACTGGCTACCACTGTTATACTCAATAATCACCAGGAATAAGGGTTTAGTCAGAACATCTACATCAACAAGAAGACTTGAGTGGAGTGTGTGTGCCAGATAACAAGATGGTCTCCTGGGAAAAGGATGTAAATAGGGCAAAACTGCAGGGTCTTAACTAGCAAGAGCAGCTCACAGCTTCACAAGTCTCAACGGATACAAATTTTCTGCTACATCTTTCTGACCCTTTGCACAACAACTTTGTTATCCCTTTGTGTGGCTGCTTCTGTCCCTAGGAGACTGCTCAGTTCAAGTTTGGAGCGGTGCTCTGATCCACCTTGGCTTGGCTCTTGCCTTAAACTCCTTGGCTTGCTTTTATTGTGGTTTAATGATTAAGCAGGATTATTAAAGCAGAGCTCACAGTAGGGTAAGATAGGCTAGGTTATCATGATTAGGTTGTTTAAGCTCTGAGCAATTTTGAGCTTCTCAGCACTGTTTATAACCTGAGACGGGGAACAAGCAACGTGGCTGCTCAGCAGAACAGTGAGCTGGTGAACAATACACTATCTTCATGCCCACCCGTACTTTGAACTTACTGCTGAGGAGAAATGCTTTGTAGTGAGAAAAGTAATCTCACGGCAGGGGAGAGTCAGACCTGATCAACTTTTTCATGTGATACACATTTTGCTTTGCCAGCCCCTAGCATCTGCAAAGCTTGCAGCTAAGAGCCAGCAACCTCCTAATCCTGCTGCTAAGCTTTGGAAACCAGCTTTTCAAAGGCTGTCTTTACACAGCAATGCTATTACTTGAAGGCTTTTAATGTGAATTTATGGCTATTGCCACAAGTGTCAGTGTAGTTGCCCTCTGTATTTGCAATAGGAATTTGTGGATTCACCCCACACAGAGGGTGGATGTTAGTGGGCAGAATTTAGGGATCTACGAGTGCCTTCCTGTCTGGGGACCCAGAAGATATGCTGAAACATCTCATCTGGCAGAGGACAGCTCTCTTTTGAGCAATGGACATGGCTATCTGTCAGCAGAGATACTAAATGGAGCTTCTCTCTCTCATCTTTGAACCACGCCATCCTTACATAAATAGTAGGTGACAGCTAGCCCTGAGCAGCACCTTTTATAGGTGGACTAGGATGTGGAGTAGTGTGGACTGGGATTTCTAGAGTGGTTGTTTCCTTTTGGATCCTCAACAATATTTTTCATGTCCATCCATGTGCAGGTTATTCCTGCATGATGCACAGGTTCACAGCCCAGAACTGTGGACATCTGGTTCTTGCCATGGTTCAACATGAGGCTCATGCCACGTGGATTAAGGTACACCAGATTAAAAAAAATTATCAAATGATGCTTTACACAACGCATCACCTCT